AAAAAAAAAAAAAAAAAAAAAAAAAAAAACGGACTGTCTGTGACGCGACGCAAGGGCTAAACAGCGAAAGAGAACATTCTTTGTGCAGGTTTAAAAGTCACTAGCGACTAGGTATTTACATAGTACTTATATTTTGTAGCATAGATTTACGTCCATCGAGTATTCTCTGCAGATGATTTTCAAAGTTTGTGTATTCATATAAAATACGCGTTGAGCTGCGATTTTATAGATTTTTGACATCAACCGCAGAAGATAGAGTTAGTCTTCTTGATTAGGTTGTTTCGATTACTACGTGTCCTGTCCTTAATAATACCTTCTCTTTTGGTTAATCGAGCTAAAAGGAATTGATCTCGATAGAAGATCATTTACTACGTTGTGAATCTTCGTTCGATTCGACGTTGTTTCTTGCATAGTGTACGAGTTCTTCGATATACAACAATTGCTCGTACTTACGTTGTTACTAACAATAAGCAGCAAAAGAGTTGGAAAATACCGAATTTATCGTATCTTTGTCCGGAACATTTCATCCGATTCGAAGATTATCGAATAAAAAAGAGAAAAGAAAAGGAAAGATAGGAAGCGCATAACCGGTTATCCGGTAGGTGAATAACGTTGCAACGGAGGGATTTGTTACGCGAGTTTGCCGCGTGAGAATCGGCCGAGCTGGCACGAGCTGCATCGGTTCTTCCGCGTCAGTAAGTCGGTGTTCGGAGGATGCATTATCGATAGTATCGCGCAACAAGATTTCCAACGGGTTTCTCACCCTGTTCCGAGCGAAATCGGCGGAATACGGATCGAAGGCGTGCGCGGAGGAAGTGGTGAAGTTTTCCATCTCGTTTTTATTCAATCGGATAGAAAACGCGACGAACTCTCGGTTTCTTCCATCCGGTTCAAATTTACCCTCTCTCCCCCTTATCATCTGGCCCTCGTGGACGGCCGCGTCTCGCCTCTTCGAGGTGTTCGCGAGCCATCTTAACACCTTAACGCCTCGGTTGTCCCTCGTTTCAATTGATCTGATTGTCAGCCGCGCGGCGAGTAGGAAGTCACCGTTTATTCAGCAGCATTCGAAGAAGTCCCAAGATGGATTAGATTGGAACCGAGCTACTTTAAATTGGCCCGAGACTGCCGACCCGAGCCAGTTTCCCCCGGGCTACGTTGCAAATCGAATTCGATCGCGTAATCTGCCTTCGTCCCTCACTCTTTGTCTCTCCTTTTCTTCTCGCCTCTTTAATTTACTTCGATTTCACTTATTTTACCTTGTCACTGTCATTTAAGTCGTGATCGCGCGTGTGCACACTCAGTAACAGATCGGTAACAAAAATCGCTCGCGCGTTGGCTGTTCTATATTTCGTTGCTTGAAGCTCACATTAAAACAATTTTGAAATTATATTAACTTCCATCAAGGAGATCCGAGCAGTTTATTTTAAAACGTACGTATTGTTTAAGATCAGTATTTCAAATTAAAAATCAGAGCTTTATCAACGATTCATCAGCGAAGAAAAATGATTTAACATCTGGAAGCGAATAATGTATCAGTGATACTTTATTTCAATTTAATAGAATAAATAAATGCTTATATTAAACTACTAATTTCTCGAAAAAATCGGTAGAAAATTAATACTTTAAAACGATATATGTACATATCTGAACGTGGGCAAGATTAACGCAATAACGAATCTGCATTATGAATCACGAGCTCGACTCGTGCTACAGTCGATGTTGCAGGCGAAAGGATCTTCAATTTATTTCGAATAAATTTCGTCGAAAAGATCGTTGCGAATCTTCAACGCGATTCCCTCTTCCCGAAGGAAGTTAATTTGAACGCGGAAGTTTGATCTAAATTCATTCGCGTCATCGAGCGTAATTGTTGAATTTCGACGATGAATGTCCCAGAGGAGGTGACGGCAGGGGCTAATTTCTAGCAAATCGACGAGATATGTATATTATAATCACCGGATAGAATTGATATTTACACACGTATCCCGCCGATATTCGATCGCCTTTGAAACAACTTTTCCACCACGTTACCATGTATTTCACCCAGCGTGCGTTGAATTTCCATTTCCGTGCCGTTCGATCGATTTTCAACGTTGTGCTCGCGACGTTGTTTATTCTTGCCTAAGGAAAATGAATATCAAGGCAGAGGAACGTGTATCAGATATTTTTTCAAGTTTGAA